GAGGCTAGAATTCAGAACTGCATCCCTTATTATTTAGTATGTCAATCTTGTTTAGTTTGGTAATTCTTATCGATTAATCTGAGTTCAGTGCCCTACCTTGTTCATCCATTGGTACAAGTATCCCATCTCAAACTCGCCCGATGTCTCCTAACTTCTGGAAAAAAGATAAGCTTTGGAAGCCGTTGTTCAACTTGGAGTGCACAATGTTTCTTATCCATTTGCATGCCAAGCCAAGTCTCTCAGCTAGGAGGACAATCCTGGTGTTTAGAACCTTCAATCTGATTAACGAATCAAGGCCATCACGCACATCACAAGCCTTTGTAAACTCACGAGGTAAACTCAACCAAGGCGGCTTAAGGACTGAACAAGGGCAGGCCAACTTTAAAAGAAGAGGTAATCATGTCGCCGCCCAAGGATATTGTGAGTTCGCAGAGAGCGATTAAACGTCGAAAACCTGAAACGAAGTAACAGCAGGGGGGCAGGGACCAGCTTGCCGGGCCCTTGTTTTGCGTTTGCTTCCCATTGTTTGTACGTCGCTTGTCTCGTTATTTGGTATGAACCAGGTTTGTTTCTGCATGTTTTTATGCGTGTGTATCATGTTTAATAGAAAATGGACACATGTTTGAATATCCTCCTTCACGTTCTCTTTTTCATGTTTCAAAGCTTTTCTTTGTTTTCTTCGTGTAAACGCACCTGTACAGTGTATCAGCATGCAGTATACACATCATAGATGCAGCCGAACGTTCGATGGATTCCGAGAAATTGGTTGAATTTGGGGTTTGTTGGAGGCGGAAACGCTGGTGATGAAGATGCTTGACAGCCCAGTGGCAGTGGCAGCTGGACCTGCAGTGAGTAGATGTGTTCAATCACCACTCTTTGACCTTCTCGCTGTTTGCTGCGAGCCCATTTCAAAGGCCACCTATGAACGTAAGATTTGTTTGCGCTTTTTGTCTCCATGGAGCAGTGTACTACGGTCACAGAAAACAACTTTTTGCTGATAGAAGTCAACAAAGGGCCACATTGTGGAGGTCTAATGAGTTGCCTGATTTACTATGCAATATGATGTCCTTTCTACAACGAAACAAAGCTTCAGCATGGCCGTCAACACATGTTCAACAAGAGGCTCAACCTGCTATTCCTATGGGTGAGAACGAAGCAATGCATACAAGTGCAGTGGGAGGAAGGGAATGCAAGAGTATTGCGGAGGGCACGGATAAACACCCAGCTGTGATATGATACAAAAGTCAAGGGCACCCTTATTGGACCCTTATTCTGGACTTCTGCATCTTTTGCACTGTTTTGTGCTTCTCAGCTTCCCAGCTGCCTGCCGAAAGGAGCTCGTTTTATAGATCCTAGAGGTCCTTTACATTCTCATTGGTTTCCATCGGTTTCCCTACATATTTGGCGGATTTGGATTGTGCAAGGTTCAACTAGGTGAGTAAGCACCATCCAACTGAATGTTTGGACTGTCGAAACAGCCCAGTCAAGCCTGATCAAACCTGAAAGCCAAGCTGCAGGTATCCGGAAGCTTGACAGCACTCTTCCGGCGTATTGACCTGACACGAGCAGAGGTGCAACAGGGAAACATGATGAAACATGTTGCTTTTGCAATGCAGAATTGCGTACAGGCGTACAGCATACAAACGCAGCTGCAAATGTGTGACAGATGTTCTCTTAGAAACCTCTCTATTTGTCTCCATCTTTCATGGCGAGATGCACAGCTGCAGGAGCTTTTGCGGTGCCTTCGCGAGACAAGCGTGCGGCACTGGCTTTTGGGCATTTCGGCCCTTCTCCGCTCTGAAAGGCGCGGGAGGAGCCCCCAGAGCTCTACGTGTAGCCGCTCGAAGAGTTTGGGACGAGAGAAAGTTTCGCTTTTTCATCGAGGCATGTGAGCTCCCAAACCGTCGAGCAGTGGATGCAGCGCGCCATCGAGTCCAAGGCGAGCAGAGTACAGAGCACTGCAGAGCACACGGACCATTTTCACACCATATTTAGCATCAATTTAGCACTGCTTCAGCAACTCAAGGACCTAGGTCTCATAAGTTACAAACGGGTTGAAACCAGCTGCAACGGCGGCACAGCGCATGTGCAACAAGCTCACCTTAGGGAATCAGAATTTAGAAATCCTTGCAAGCAAAAACCCATTCAATTGACCAGCGGCCAGCGACTACTGTACTCCATCAAGCAGGATGCTTGCACCATTGCACCTGACATACCAAGATCATGACCAGCTTACCTATGTCGAGGCAAGCCTCCACCAGAATTTGTCGCATCATTCGCACAACTACTTTGGTGGAAACCAAATGTGCATTCAGCCGTAACTAGGTTCCTCTTGAAGCTCATCTATTTCACAGTGCGATCAATGCCACGGCGCGATTAGGCAGGGCCAGACTTACTCATGTGTTAGCCACTGTTTGGTGGGCTTACAACAGCTCAAGCAATTCTTGACATAATGGCTTTGAGTATACTACTCCAGTGACTGCATGTCCAGGATGATGTATGTAGAGTGTCGCAGGTTTTCAGGGTCGTGAATGTCAAAAGTTTGCAGCACTCGAAGCCAGTTTTGCTTTTCTGTCGTTGTAGGGCAACCGGAGTTGGCTGAGAACTGGCTCGAGAGAAACTTGGAAAAAACATCTGTCACCAGAGCTCACTCGTCTTCGTTCAGAGAACTGGGTTTCCGTTCGAGGTTTAGCATTCATGGCTTCGTATGGTTTGCTTGTCCTCAAAATCTGGCAGTTTCCTCGACTCACCTTTCTGAGCATGCGTAACATTCATTTAAAAAGAGAAGACGTGTCGAACTCTTCGAGATTCTTTGTGATTGCATAAGACTCGAGAATGCAGCACAACCGATGTACGTACGTTGCGCAACCTCCACTCTGGACCCTCAACCCTGGCTTAGCAGCGGTCATGCAGTCATGCACTAGATCTAGCAACGGGGCTGTTGCAAACGACTATGACCTGCCACCTGCCAGCAAACCAAACATGGCTGGCACCACAAGGCCATGGGCCCCCATGGGCCCGCAATCTCCCATCAGCGTTCTTTGTTCTTTGAATCTATACAGAAAGGCTCCGCAAACTTCATTGCACCCAACTGCCCCAACTCTTCCTCTTCGAACACAAGTCTCGATGTGCAACCAAGGAATGACAAGTCATTTTCCACCAGATTCCAGCTCCATTGGCGCTGATCTCTAGCTGAAGGATGTATTGGGGTCGGTGCACATTTGTTTAGAGAAGTTGCATGAGGTGGTAGAATATTTGCAATTTAGTTGCATAGGTTTGCCTCAGCTATTTGTCTACAATCTACAACGCTTTTGGTCTTGACTTTTTCACTACCAGGTGGCTCCTTATGATCAGTTGCACCAGCTAGAGTTGTTTGCTGTCATACTTAAGTTGTACTGGCAGACAGCAGTTTGACAAAAAGATTATGATTAAGGTGTCTTTCAATTGCACCATCATTTTTCAGCATTGCTCCTTGAGACTTGAGGAAGTTCGCTCAGGTAGTTTCCGCCTACAAACTTGCGAAGAAAAAATCTGCAAGCGACTATATGCAGCGGGTCAAGGCCGGGAAGCCGCATACGACTTGTTTGCTCTTGGTGTTGTTCTTTTCGTGGACCATCCAAATACTGAAGATGGAACTGTACTGTTTGAGTAAATGCAAGTAGAAAGCGATTGCAATACACTTCCGACTGGTAGCACTTTGAAAGGCAAACCGCTTCTTTGCATTGTGCGCCGCTACGGCATTCAGCTCGCAAAACTGCGCGCCTGATGACCCACAACAACAGACAAAAACGCAAAGCGAACCGCAGCGCCCCTCTACACTACACGTTCCTCTCAAGTGAGACTTGTTTCTTCCTGCTGTTTGTACTTCCTAGCAGCAGTACTGGAAGTCCTATTGCTGGGTTGGCCAAAGCCCAGTTGAGCCAGGGTGTCCAGGACCCATTCACACAGCATCAAGGCAATATCGAAACTTCCAGAGATAGCTTCCATCGATAGGTTCGGTTACTGCTGCCAGGCCAAGGAGATGCAATTAGACTGTGCGGCCTTCAACCAGATCATCAAGCGACCTGGCCGATTTGTTAAGCCAAAAAACCTTTGCCAAGTGTTTGTCGCCGACCGATTGATTGACGTGGTACCGTAGGCCTATGTTTCTTGCGCCGGTAAGCATTTCTTTTGGACAAGTAGGTCCTATGTGTTCTTCATAATTGCAAGTTTTGCATAGCAAATCATAACAATGTCATGACTTAGATCGTAGATGGAATAGGGGCGATGCGACGGACAACACAGACATACCTCCTTACATGCCCTTGCAATGCAGACTAAAGCAACTTCACTGTGTACCCCTCCCTCACAAACCTGCAACATGCACCACTCGTGGTTGCCCATGTATTTGGAAGGGCACAGATGATATCCCATGATCACAATACCGATACTTTTTCAATGTCAATCCGAGGAGTTGCATCCATGTAGAGGACCTGCGAAGCAGGGTGGGCGGAAGGTGGAGTCAAGAATGGGGGTGAGCAGAGTGGATAATCGAACAGCTTTGAAGCTCAACATTTGGAGGCATACCACATTCCAAGTGAGCAGCTACATCTATTCTACAACTCAAGTGGAGAGATCGAGCAACCGTTCTTATTTGCATCAGAAATTTCATAAATGTAAAGTAATTGCTGGTGGATACATTTTGTGTGCCGAAGCCACCGCGCTTTGCAGAACGAGTTGGGAGAATCTATGGTTCTATGATGTTCTATGGTTTGAGTCGGCCCCCCTGGTTCCTTGGTGAAGCGGGGCCGACCATGAACCATAGATGTTGTAAATGTGTCTTGCTGTTTACTTGCAACTTGCAGTTTTTGTTGAATTTGACATTTGCTCGGAGCTTGTGTAGAGCAAGCAATGTGTTGTTGATATAGTTGCCACAATGGCCATGCCATTTTGGCTCAAGCTGTGTCTCTGTGAGACTAAGATTTGAAAAGCCCACCCACCACACCCTGGGTTCAGCGGTTATGGCGGCACTGGAGGACATCCTTGCCCCACCAGCGCCCCGGCCGGAGGCCTATGTTGAACCCATCTCGCAGCTGCACAACCAGGTGCAGCTCGGATATTTGTCAAACCCACCCCAAGACCTCGAATTCGGCCCGGGGGGCCGGAACGGGAAAAGGACACAGTGTGACAGTGTGTCAGACAGGCCAATCAGCTCCTCCAGGAGTCTCCAGTGTGCCGACCAGGCAATTGAGAGTTTAAGCGATGTTTGACGGCGGAGCTGTTGGCTATCCAGAGCAAGCACATCATCTTGGCACTGCCGGAAGGCCCATCAAAATCTCACCGTTGATGGCTTGGAGAGGGAAGACGAGGAAGAGATTCGGAACCCCCCCAGCACCAGGAGGCAGCTCGAGCGCATGCACCAGCTCTTTCGGACCAACCTGATTTCAGACAAGCAGGGCAACGTTGCACACCGCCCTTTCCACCTGAAGAGAGACCACAACCAATGGGCAACGATCTGACTCATCCCCAATTTTCAGGTGTTCAACCAGACGAACAGGCTGGCTGTCTCCCTAACCTTGAAGTGTGTTCCTACCAATGGAAGGTTCTGAGTGAATCAACCAACCTCTTCTCCAAAGAAACCGCGCAATTTCACTTGAAACTCGAATCCCTTTTCCATGGTCACGCGAGGTCCTTTCTGCAAAGGAGCCCTGGTCCTGGGTGCAAGCAGGTAGGCGGCGGGGTTTGGCGATGGCCTCTGCCCCTCGCGACCATCCCCGGGGCGGCTGCGATTGAGGTGACCCACGTGCCTGCCTTCAATGGAATGAAGATCCACATGCCAGGAAACCTGTGGCAGATCGTGCTCGGAGAACAGACCTGCAGCAGCTGCACCAGGCACCCTCATCTGCAAGCGAAAAGAGGCGCCTACTGCTGCAGAGTGAGGTTTCGTAGTCAAACCATTTTCAATTCTATTCAAGAAGGCTATAATTTGGGCCCCGTGAAAAATGTACAGCTTCAAGGGGGTCGAGCAACAAACAAAAGATTTTTTCAGCCCTGTGCAGCTTCAATTACGTCGAAAAGTAGAACGATTGCAAGAAACTATAGATATCTGGACCCCTAAGAGCCAATGGTGCGGGCGGTTGTTGTTGCGAAGCGACCCGAATCAGTGTTTCCACGGAGGCTGTTCACGAAAAGCATCCACATCTCCGACATAGGTTTACCACACCGCTCGCAGCATACAAATGACACCAAGCCTCAGTCATTGACACCAGCAATCATCCCGCTCACTCGTGACACGCGGCATTTTCACGCATGTTTCTTGTCCCCCAAAGACATGGAGACACACAGTCACGTTTTTCACCCAAATCCAGCCAAAACGCGTGGCACGGCCATGCCACAAACGTAATTTCGCCACATCGCGTTCCACATACTAGATGCAACAAGGTGTCCGCAAACCATGATGACACCAGCAGTCATCCCACTCACCAGCAACAAGACATCTTTGCAAATAACATCATATAACACTTGATGCATCAATTTGCAGGCACGGACCGAGGTTGGCAAACGCACTTTCCACAGAGACGTTTGCGACGTCATTTCGTCACAGTCACAGTGCACATTGACATGGCCTTGCTTTGATGGGTTTAGGCTTTGCACCTTTGATCCTTCGGAGTGGTGTTGATTTTGCCTTTGACCAACCCATCACTGGGTTGCACCCTGTTTTTTGCTGGCCAAAGGCCTGAACCAGCCTGCTTTGAGTTCGGGGTGTTTCCGATTGATTGTAACCAGCTACCGTACAGTGAAAGAAGTGCAATCACTTAAAGCCTTCACAGCCTAACTTGCTCCACAACACTTGTGTTTCTTGTGAATGAAACCCCATGGGTGGCCGCCCCCACAAGGATTTGGAGGCTGCAGATCGGTGGCTTCAGCTCGCTGTAGATTTGGGTGACTTGGATGAGCGGAGTTTTGCTTGTGAAGTTCCAGCAAATTCCAGGTTGAGTTGTTTCATATTTTTATTCAGATTAGATTTGCTATAATATGTTATAATACATATTTTCCCAATAGCATGTCACTCCATTCATACAGTTTGGGTGCTCTCTCTCTCTCTCTCTCTCTCTTGGTTGAAAATCTTATATAGATTATGAAAGCGATCTGTAGTTGCCGATTCCTGAACGCAGAAAATGTTGGATTCTTTATTTCTCACAGCAAGAATTTGGTTCTGCTTGTCGGTGTTTACTGTACATCAACGGCCCCGATGAAGTTCCCACAAAACAGAAATCAAATTGCCTATTTGGGCACGTTGTAGGTTTGTTTCATGCAACGACGGTGTTGAAAAGGTGTGGCATGGGGGACGGCAGTTGCAGTTGGTTCCTGTTACGTTTTGCTGTAATTACCGATGTTGTGCGGATATTGACTAGGGGGTAAACCCTTTTGTAGGACTAATGTTTGATGATAGACTTGAGGTGCGTGCCCCGACCAATACTAACTACTCACTGTCTACGTGTGGCACTGGTTTGTCGCCATCCAGGAGCGGGGCCTTTAGAATCTCTGTGGATCAGCAGTGTCGTGGGTGGTGGTATCCGCTTGGGCAAGGCCACCGCATGTAGCACAGACTGCTATACGGATGGGTAAATTGAAGACCAAAGAACCTATAAATAAGGACTTGCGATGGACTTGCAGAATAAAGTTTCAATGGATTTGTCTTGATGCAAGATGGTGGCTCCACTTGTCACTGGTTGATCCATTGGCTCATTTTGATGAGGCGCAAGTTTCTCTGCTCCGTTCTCTTCACCAGTTTGAATTGGGGTGGCCCCATGTTCAAATAATGTCGAGTTCGGCTGTATTTGCTTATGACTATGTCCTGTTAAAGCAACCTGGCATGCACACCCCTCACTGACTTGCTGCTGACTTAGTCATTGGAGTGGTGCGCACATGGATGCGTGCACTCATGCCTGCATCATCAGAGACTAAGCGCTAACCCGTTAGTACTCCTAGTACAAAGCAGTGGTTCTTCTAGCTTCTAAGAAGGATATCGTTGTTGAATCATAGCCAAAATGGATCATGGGAGGTTTTGGTCGACCCCTACTGTAAGCGCCAGTGGACCTCTGAGGGTGCAACCTTGCTTGCCTTTACGAACTGTCATCCATCTCCAAAGAGAATCGTTTTGCACCTAATGCCCAAGATAAATTCAGTCTCATTTGCAGGCAGACATCCCAGAGAGGTGGATTTGCTTCCAAGCAGAGAATGGCCTCTCACGAGATTCCAGCAGCTTCAACGCCGCCTCCTGGCTTGAGAATTTTGTCCAAAGATTTGCACAAAGAATTCATTGCTCCATCGGTTCAGAACTCAAGCCTATCCGATATATATATATATACATGGGTTCCCCCCTTTTGTACTGCTAGTGCCTTACTTAAGCTACTAGTATGGACGCAGGTCCTTGAAGCAGCGCTCGCACTATTCATTTGGTTCCTAGATTTTTAGGGAAAGTTAACTATGGATTCTTGCATAAAGCAATTGGAGCGGTTCTTCAGCCGATGTTTTGGGGTGGTGGTGGTGTTAGTCGATAAATGGTCAATGGGTTCAACGGTCATGTTTGTTTGCTGGTTGGTTGGTTTGTTTGTTTGAGAGTGTGCTAGTGTGTGCTAATTAAGTATATATCTTGTTGGGAAAGCTGGGAAAGTGGACATTTCCAAGAATCTCAGCACCAAAACATTCCGACCTCAGTAAGTGCCCTGGAAAGCGGCCACTGGTCAACTGATGTCAACTGTTCTAAGGGCCATGTCACACTGGAGCTGGAGGGTATGAACGGCTGTTTTCTGGACTGGACACGTTCGTCACATTCGCTCGTGAGTGGTTTGACTTTGAGGTGATCGCCTGCCACAACCGCCAGGGAAATTTCCATGCAGCAGAGCTCTCCGATGCAGATAGAGGGACTGTAAGCAAAGCCAATATACTGTACAGCTTGCATATATGTATATGATACATATACTGCAATGCCAATAAACCGTTGGAAAACTAGGAAACGAAAGGGGCTGCAAGCAGCTTCACAGCCGCATCATTTGGACTTCACAATTGAGGCGCCTGGTGCGGTTTATGTGCCAGCACCTTCAGCCGGCAATCAGATCTAATAGGGAGTTTTGCTACAGGCCCCTCAGTTCTGCTAGTGTAAAGTATGCATTCTTAAAATGCGAAGTGGGGTAGGAGGTTGGGGGCAAAAGCGTTTTACCATGTTTTACCTTTGCAGTTGAGAGTTTCCTTAGGTGATCAGCAGTGCCCACAAATCGATGCTCAAGCGTTTGATTGCTTTTTGATGGATCCACTGTTCGTTGGGAATCCTTGTGCTGAAGCCTCAGGTATGGCATTGAGCCAGATGTGGTGACCTTGGCAGCGGCGGTGCACAGCTTTGCACGGGGAAAGCGACCTAAGAAAGCTGAGGAAATGTGCCTTGGAACGACATGGACGAATTACGATCAGGGCAAAGGCCAATGGTATTATTGGACCTTGACCCAAGTTGCAAATACATATATATATACATGTTCCGCCAAGATTTCAGCTGATTGGTAAAGAGTCCAGTAGTGTAGTTTCAACGATGCACGCAAAAGACGTTTCTGGTAAGGGAAACTTGCAACTGCAGCTTTGTCTCCGTTGGCGTACCACCGAAGGGCCCAAGGGAAACACAATAGCCATAGCCTTTGATGATTGCTATCCCTCGCGTTAGACTCGAAGCGTGCCAAGTACAGATTTGCATAAAGGACGTCATCAGCTACGTACCATTCATATAGTTTACCGCAGTAGGACGAGCCTGCAACAAGATCACAGGGCAAAAAGCTGAGAGGCTAAGCTTTGAGATGTTCGCCTTTGAAGGCCATTCACTTGGTGGACGCAATTGGAAGGGAACTGCTCAAAGGAGTGGATCACAGAGAGGCGTTCGTCAAGCCGGAGTGGTACAGGCTTGTACATTGGGGATCCTGATTTGTTTAGCCTTTTCAGTCAATTGGCTCTCCCTGCCATGATGCTATGCCATTGTTGGAGTTTCCTTTTGGAATGTGTCGTTTCAAGACTGCTTTTCCAGCCCTGCCACCAACTCAGGTTCGAGATGATTTTGATGCGTGGACAAACCCGCCAGGGATCCTCAGTGATGCCAATGATAATATTGCGCAGCCCTTATTACATCTTACTACACTGATCGCTAGCAGAGAATTTGGGGCATGCTTTGTCATGTTGAGACCGTTCTTATGATTTTGGTTTTACTTGCATTCACAAGGGTGAGCCTTAAACCAACCCCCAACAAACTGCCCAGCCGTGAGCCAGCAACCAAATTCATTTAATTGGCGAGGAGGCCCTTCTGTCCAGTGTGGGCCTTTTCTTGACAACTGTTTGGTCCACCTGATCATTCAACGCTGCAAGGGAGGGTATTGGCCAAGGCGTTCTGCGTGTTCCAAAGCCAAGCCTGACCCAAGGTGCAGATGTTGTTAGCTTCAATGCCTTGATCGATGCATGGGTGAAAGCCGAAGATGTCCAGCGGGCCAAGTACTGGCTCGAACGGATGCTGGAGGCCGGTATGCACAACATCCATGCAGCAATGCAGAATGCACTATGATCGCTATGATGCACTATGTGACAAAAAGATACTTAATTATGTATCTATATATATATATATATGTGTGTGTGCCTTTCATAAAAAGATGGAGTGTGAGTGGTGCACGATGAGTTTATCTCGCTAACCGCTGCAACATGCTCAGACCATATTTTTCAGCATAGGCCAAAACTGCCTTTGATGGATGCTCCAATAGATGCTGGTGCCAATGGCTGTTTGAAAACTGTAACACATTGGTTGTGAGACCAGGATTGTTGAACGATGCACTTCCTCAGATGGCCCTTGTGCGAAGTGGACGTTGAGTGTGGTTGTTTGGGGCTTGAGGTTCTTTTCCGGGGCAAAGCCTCAAAGCATATGTTGGTTGGTTGACCTTAGACCGTAGATTCAGTATGTGTTTGACCGTACATTATAGAATACATGCCCGGAAACTAACTAACGCAGTCATTATATATGTTTTTCAAGGGCAGACATGGTGCACACAGGCACAGGACAGGTATGCCAGTTTTGCGGTTTGACTAAAAGATAAGGCCTGAACAGGGTTTGCAGTTTGGCCGCTTTGTCGGCTGGGATTTTTTGTCTTCGTTCTTTTTTGAGTGTATTTGCAAAGAAATGTATTTAGCAAGCTTCCACCACTCTGGACCCCAATGTTTCATTCTCTTTCGACTGACAGCCAGGTCGGGGTGGAGCCAACAGTGATAAGCTATACCACAGTCCTGAACGCCTACGCAAAGCAGGGCAACATTGAGGCCACCGGCGATTAAGGGAGGTGCATAAAGCTTTAGATATAAATACTCCAAGCTTCGCTTCAAGCAAAAGCTGGAAGTAGTGCAGACATGTGCAGACAATGTGTAGTGCTTTGTCATTTCCAGGTACAGCCCTTAACATTGTGACGATCAGATTGTGTTAAGTGAAAGAGGATGTGTCTTTAAGTTTAGAACTGCCATGGGAGCCTTTTGCCAAATTGTTTAAAGTGCCGCACATCTGTTTTTATCCATCTGAACTATGCCCATGCCCCATGTGGCAGATTGCAACGCGTGCAGCGCCCGTTCTTTCAAATGTGCTAGGCAGCTGAGGAGATCATGGAGCAGATGAAAAGCAAGCAACTGGAGGAACGGAGCAATCATGCGACCTTGCGGGCGTGTGTGGCCAACAAAGCAGAATCTGATAATCATGTTCAATACTTTTGCATCTTTCCTCCAAAGAACTGAAGACACAAGATCTCATGGCTGCCTGGCCTAGCCTGGCATCAGAAGAGATCCTGCTGAGCTCATAAAGTTGATAAAACTCAGGAGGAGGAGGACGAGAGGCTTGAGAGGCGAATGTTGCTGCTTGGGGTCACTTGTGTGAGGCAAATGTCGTCACCTACACCGTGCGAGGGCTTGGTTGTGGGATGCGGTTGCCCGGAAGTCCAGCGACGAGGGGACTTTCATGTTCCTCTGAATGATCCACAATAGTCTGTTTCCAAATGATGCCCTCTAGAAATGATAGGTGACTGCCTATATTGGATGATTGGATGGATACAGCCTGGATATGCTGAGTTTAAAGGAAGTGTTTTGAGGGCTTATGATCGTGCCAGGTCCACTACATTACTAAGACTAAGGGATTTCCCCTTTGGTCTTGGCCCAAAACCGATTCCGCAGCTCACCAAGTCAGACAGGCATGAAAGAAAATCAATTGTCCTCAACGCACCGCCAAATCCTGTCAATGCAAACAAATCACAATCACACACGGGGCATAGCCCCGCCCATTGGTCAGATTCACACATAGTCCTGCAGGGCCAAACTGTGCTCTACACATTTCAGTTGCAAAAACCTACACGCAATGCAATACTGTACTCATCTACTCTGGATCCGCTAGAAGTTACTGTTGATCTCATGTCCGGTCTTTCTTTCCTGTTCTTGTCATTTTTTGGTTACTGTATTTGTTTGCTCAAACCGTACTTCTGGGTCCCTTTCAGCAAACACCACTATGGCCCCAACTCGAAGTAAAAGAGGATAGATTCACACTTGCATGTAGCTTGCGTTTGCAAGGTTTATATGTTCACAAAGGTCGCCGAAATGTTCCACCGGGACATTTTGGCTCAAGAGAGAAGCAGTGTCGATTCACTGCATGTTTGCAAACCTTGCAATTCCTTGTCCTTCCAGCACCCTATGGCTTCGCCAGTGGAACAGGAATTCGCCATGATTGACACTGCCGTGGAGGGCGAAACTTTCGACGTGGACACAGTTCCTAGCTCTGACATGGCCCGAGGCCGACCTGGCAGCTTTTGCACCATGGTGGAAGAGCTGGATCTGGGGGCACAGCTGGAGCCGCGGAGCCATCCCAGACAAGCCACCCACTAAGAACATGGTTTACTGGCTCCACTAATCTGGGGACCCAGCCACACACCCCTCAAAACCACACCGCAGCCCTCGAGCTGCCCGGCACACTTCTACGACAACAGGGTGAGGTTCCTGGATGCCCTCTAACTCCGGCAATGTCTTCAGCCTCTTGAACCTTTCTTCAAAGAAGTCCCACACAGCGGCCATCCTGATGGAACTTGTGCTGCTGCTGCTGCTGCTGCACCGTGAAGGCTGCAGTGTGGCTCCTAGCCATATGCCACGTGAGTACAACACCTAGGCGGATGAGTTGACCCATCCTGATTTCCAGCTTGGATGCGACTCTCCGATTGGAGACGCCTGCTGACTTTATTGCATTTTCAAAAGCACCCCGCCTACTGGCGGCAGATGCCTTTTCCTGACCGAGGCCCACCCAAACCGGATCCGGTCGTTGTCCTCTTGACCGCTCTGCGACTGGCCCCCTACCAGGCGTTTCTGGCCCTGAGAAGCTAGACAGGGTGTACCAGGCACGGGTGAGAGATTCTGCCCGTCGCTGAGAACAGACAGAGGTCAGAGGACCCAAGCGCTACACAGAGGAAGGTTCTGCAGATCCTTTTGGAGCTTGGTTTGGATATTTTTGATTTTGAGCGCATCAAAAGATGTGGACTGTGTCATTTGTTTGGCATTTTTGGCCGCTTTCAAAAAAGCGGATTCTCACACGTCTTGTCGTCTTACCTTGACAGGGCTCTGTCTTCCCAATTGAGTATGTCAAAGCCGAACTTCCTTTCAGACTAAGGGCGCAAACTCAGCAACACTCAGGCACTAATCAATGCATGTGTCAAAGCTGGGGATGTGCTTCGCGCAGAGAGGCAGGGCGGGCATTGTAGTCCAATTTGTTCACATACTATAGGCTCATAGTCCATAGTCCTTGAGACAATAATTTGTTGGCTCCACTTTCTCCCTGCGTGCTACCCCGTCAAGGTTCTTCGGGTTCATGAATGCTGCTGGCATCGAGGTCACTTGGTCATTCAGTGACAACAACGACGGGAAGGGTTCAAGTTTCATGGTTCGTTGATGTTTGTTGTCATATGTACACACTGCAGTTTCTCTGACTTTGCTCTCACATGATTTCCTTGCTGCGTAAATCTCCACGCGGAAGTTTACTGCAACACCAGCTCAGCAACCTTAGTAAGCAAGGCCTTCGCAAATTGTATATACTACACTGGAGAGTTCTTGTGAAGCTCCGGGACGTCGCGCAAAGCCACATCACTTGGCACCCGACAAAGTTGCTTCCATGTGTCGAGAAGACTGGAAGCATTTGATCTACTGTATATAATATTCTCAGCCACTTGCAAGGGCTGCCAAGGCTTCACTGGTCAACGTGTTGAAACACACTATATAGTTCAGGTCCCAGTCCACTCTTACCAGTAGCATCCTTGTTCAGCACTTCATTTTGCCGAGTTGACCATATTAAGATTGGGTGTCAGTCATGTTCTTGCAGTTAGTAGAGATTGGTTGGCAGGCTTGTTGGTTGCCCTGAGAAGATTCAATCATCATCAAAGACAACTGACAACTGAATGGCTGCACAAATATTCCAAGGAGTTTCTTCTCATTGCTCATCAGGTATTCTCGCAGCATATGTTCAGTTTGAATGGGTTTGTTTGCAATCTTTAGCACAGCATAATTTGGAAACAGCCCCAGTCGAGAAGAAAAAGACATACAGTATGTCCAAAGCATGTGGGCATTACTATATACTAGTAGTTGCTTCCAACTTCGGAGACATGGAGCAACCAAGAACCTCTTGGCCAAGATTTGCATTGATTATAATCTGAAAACCTCAATGACCCAAGCAAAACCAGGTTATGGAGCGCAGTTACGGGATCAAAAAGAAAATTCACACCACAGTACGCGCAAATGAAAACTGAAAAGGGAAAGCATCTTCTCATTGCCCAAAGATCGCGGGCCATCGCTGATTACCTAGAGTCTAGAGTCTAAACATTGGAAGAATGATGTTGATGCAGGTATGCCACACAACGCGCCCATCTTACAAAGAAATGGAAAAGATGAAAGACAGTTCACACTTGAAGAATTAAACGGTGCACTACAGATTTCAAGTATTTTCAAAAAAACACAAGCAACCTGCCCCAGATGACTATCATGACAACCGGCAGCACCTCCTGAACCTAATTAACAACTGGTGGCAACATAAGGAGGCGGCAAAAGACTTGTATGTGGCAAGCGTGGTTCCAATTTTCAAAAAGGGAGACACTGACCTATTTTGCTCCTAAGCAGCCTTTACAAGTTACGGTCATGATCCCGAAAGAGAATGCAAGATGCTATCGACAATCACTCTTCTAAAACTCGATTCGGCTTTAGACCTAAAAAATCCGCTTCTCACGCCATCTATGTCATCCGCAGAAAAAAAGACTTTGCTGAGGCAGAAGGAGCTCTTGGGAGAAGGCTTTTGACATTTTGACAGGATACAGCATGATCAATTGATCTCGATGTTTGCATTGAAAAACATGAGTTTCAGCCAACATTGCTGCGATATCATTCAAGATTGCTAGAAACGGTTTGCGATTAATCAAAGATGAGTATGTGGTGATACAGATGAACAATGATGGTTTGGTCAAGGTTGGCAATCCCAAAAAGATATGAGGCGACTTACCTTGAAAATATAGTCAGCGATGAATCCAACATAAAACACAACATTTGAACAAAATGCAGGAAGCAAGAAAACATGGTTCAGACTTTTGCCGTACTAGAAGACAACAAATGCGGACGTCAAATGGCAATTGCTTATTTTGTTGATGCCTTGAAGCTATCCATCTTACAGGGGCAACGTTGAAGAGAGTGGATGCCTCGCATAGAGCAATTAAGGTGTACAGTGACTGCATACCCAACTCAGGGCGCCCAACGGGACATCGAATTGTTTAGCCCAAAAGTTTGGAATTGTTTCGATTTATTTACATAGAAAATCGAAACTGTTAGACTGTTAGGCCACATCCTCAGAACCAATAAGGAAGATCCTTTATGTCAGGTGTTTTTCCAGCTCAAAACACAGCTTTGAGCAGGCAATTGGCTGCATGAAGCAAAAAAGGACATGTGTTTGAAAATTTGCTGAGAGGTTGGGACTACCAAGAAAGTGTTATGCAAGATGCACGGATTTTGATCGCAGCCATAAACAGAGACTTTTAAGCTGCTTCGCGGACCTGAAGCTACGCCCACGCCTTGCATTGTTAATAGTTGTCATTGGGAGACGTGGCTGGAAAAAAGAATGAGAATCAGGAGTTTATCGTGGAGCTGAGGCCAATGCAATGACCTTCAGCTCTGTACTGAACGTTTGCGCCAAGGCAGGCGACTACAAGCCCGGCCACCCATAGCAGACTGAGAGAGGTGAAGTACAGGCCAGATTGAAATTTCCAGTATCTACCAAGGAAAGACTGGGGGACTCGTTTCTGTAAAGTTCACGGATTTTCCTCTCACCGCGATTGATTGGCAAGTGCACTTTCAATCCCAATCGTTGGATAGCAGCGTCAAAAATAGTTTCCACCCCGCTTTGCTGCACCCAAAGGCCTACATAGATTCCAGCTGCCAGCTCTGGGAAGTGGGAAACAGTCTATGCTTGTTTAGTACTGAGTGTTCATTCAGTCCCAGTGACAGGTTAAGAGAAACAGTATTCTTAAGTGTCATTGTGACGCTCCAAGTTTTTCCGGAAGGACCAAGCACCCAAGTTCAGATTTACTATAGATTCTAAAGTTTGTACAATCGTGATTGATCCAGTCAGGAGT